ACGAACATTATGGATTGGTTTAAGAAGAACTTGTTCTGAAGTGATAGTATGGTAACAGAGGGGGAAATTGGTGCCTAAGATTTGCTGTTATTTGTTGGCAGCTATAGAGACATTAATTGGTGTAGTTTAATTCTCGACCCTAACTTTTCCCAGCATGAGGATTTCCTCCTGCGATGCAATCGCCTGTCGACCGAGTTTGTTAACACCATGCTGTCTGCTGAAATGTTGAATAATGGTGTTTCCAACCCAGCTTTGAGCTGGACGAAGCCGAGAGATAGATGGGTAAAAACTAACTCTAATGGGGTTGTTCAACTCTTACATAATAAAGCGACTGCTGATGGCCTGATCCGAGACTCGGAAGGCAACTGGATCTTTGGGTTTTCGTGCAACCTTGGTCGCTATTCGGTACTAACTGCGAAACTATGAGCATTACATGATATTCTCCAATATACCTGGAATCTTGGATTTCGACGGGTAATGATTGAAACTGATAACTTGGAGGTGATGAGGATCTGGTATTCTCAATCGGAGGCGTTGACGGGGAGTACTCTAGTTGCCGCGATTCATGAACTGAGGGGGAGGGATTGGGTCACTGAATTAAACCATGTGAGACGGGATCAGAATAGTGCTGCTGATTTCTTGGCCGAATGGAGTCGTGGACGTCGATAGGTGTTTCTGAGATGGTGCATCCACCTGTTGAAATGGCTGATATACTCCAATCTGATGTGCATGGGAGGACTTAAGTCTTAGCTTACTGCTTCCGTATGTTTTAACCAAAAAAACAAATATAAATTATATGCTTAATACAAAAATAATAAGTGACTAAATTTTTTCTAAAAAATGTTTTGGTGCCTAAAATATTTTAGTTAAAATTGGTGTTTAATGTTTTCTTTGTTACAATTTTAGGCGTCCACTATTATATTTAAAAAATTAATAATAAAAATATTATTTTTCAATAAAAAATTAAAAAATAAAAACTTAATTTATTTATAAAAAAAACCCAAACTTTTAATGAAATTATAAAAAAACTCTAAAAAATAAAATATCTCATTTCAACCACTTACCAACCGTTAGAGGCCATCTTCAACCACCATCGTCATCGCCCAACAGTCACCCACTCGTCGCAGCCCACCCATTGATCTACTGTCGCCCTTACCGTTACCCAAATTCCCTAAATTCTAAAATCCCCTAATATCAAAATTCCTAAACCTTTAAAATCTTAATCTCCACGATTAACACTAAAGGAGCAACGACAGAGCGATGGCGAGGATGGATTTTGAGCGGAATTGCACAGTGTTTCAAATGGTGGTGACAGTGTGGCTTATGGACGTCGAAATCAATTGGAATCGACCAAAAACATCGACAGTAGCTTAAAATCATATGAACATTCGAACCATTCTCCACGACAAATAATGACAGCTTACGACGAAAGGTTAACGTGGGTTTAATCGAGGGTCGACACCAGTGTTAATAAAGGTGGCGGTGATGGTCATGGTTAGCTGATCAATGACCATGAAATGTGCAAAGAGAAAGGCTGAAGGGGGAAGAAAAGGTAGTTGAGCATGCGAGGAAGGGATTTGTTTTTTTAATAATAAAAAAATATTTTTATTTTTAAAATTTTTAAAATTTTTAAAATAAATTCTCAAAATTACTAGGGCTTGACACGTGTCACTTAACAGTCAAATTTAACAGTCGTTACAGTCCAGACACCTAAAATTACTCCGATGAAAACGTTAGACACTAAAACATTTTTTGAGACAAATTTTAGGTACTTATTAAGCCAAAATTAGATTAGTTCTGTCCTATTAAAAAGTATATTATTTACTTTTTAAAAGTTAAAAAAAATTAAACATTGTCCATGATTATTTTTAAATATTTTAAAAATTAAATTTTATTAAATATATATTTCAAAATTATTTTATTAAAATTTTCTAAAATATATTTTTTCATATTTTTATCAATAATAAATTTTAAATAATAATTCAATAAGGGATAATTTATAAAATAATTGTCATTTAGCGACAATTTTTGTTCAAGTACCATAAAAATAAATAGAATCATAATTTAGGTATCATATTTGATATTTTGACAAAAATATAAATATTGCATTTAATATTTTATCAATATATATATTATATTAAATATTTTATGATATATATATATATATATATATTATATAAAGTACTTTTGTAGTGGAGAAACTAAATGGTCATCAACTTATAGTGGAGAAATTCACCAAGTAGCTTAATTAAATCAAAATGAAGAAAACATGCACAAAGATGGAAAAAAAAAAGATGTCAAGAATTTGTTCAATATTTTCATAGTTTAAAGCGTAGGTTTTGGTATGTACAATTTGAGTTTAAACTATTTTCAGCACCGGCCCCTGTAAAGAAAGGCCTTCTAAAATTTGGGTTTGATGAAGGTTTTTTTTTTAATGGGTTGATGAAGTTAAAATAGCATGTAGTGAGGAATTACAAGGAAGGGAAATGATGGGGATTGAAGTGATACTATTGGTCACGTTTAGGGATGGGCATAGGATCCGAACATGAAGTGGACATATTTTTTTTAAAAAAAATCGGTTTCGGGTTTGGATTAGGTTGGGTCGGATTTAGATTTAGGGTTAAAAATACCCGACCTGAAAAAGTATATAATTTTACCTTATATATTTAAAAATAATTACAATAATATCCCTCTATATATTTTTTTTCTTCAATTAAGTCACTGTTTTAATTGAATAAAAATAATATTTTTTATTATTTCGGGTCATGTCGGGTTTTTAAGTTATATATCGGGTCGGGTTCGGGTATGATGAAATCTTGTTTTGGTCGGGTCGGGTTGAGTTTCGGGTGGAGGATTCCTTATTATTAGGTCGGATCGGATGGACAAAAAACTCGACCCATGCCCATCCTAGAGACACCTCTGTAAATTGAAGTTCAATGACCAAAAGTGTCAACAGTGTTCTTTGAGCAATTGGAGTCTATTGAAACAATAGCTTTGCTGAAGCAGCAGGATAATCGAGGGGCTTATCGAGTGAATGGGTCGTGAGTTTGACGTTATTTGATTTATGTTGGTTAAAAAATTTTATTATTCGACTTAATTTGTTATTTGTTAAGTTTGTTAAAATTTTATTTAACTCATGCTCGTTAAAAAAGTTATTACCCGACTCGTATTCGTTATTTATTAAGTTTGTTAAAATTTTATTTGACTCATGCTCGTTAAAAAAGTTATTACCCAACTCGTATTCGTTAAACTCATTAAAATATTGCTCAACTCGTACCCGTTAAAAAAAACTTATTGATCTAGTTGTTACTTGTTAAACTCAGCATAATTTTTGGATATAATAATTACAGTTTGATTTTTAGTGTACTAAATTAATAATTATTATTTAATAATTTAATTTTTTTTCTTACTGTTTATTAAAAATTCATCGATTTGTAAATTAGTAGTAATTATTATTTAAATTTACTGTTTTGAATAAAATGTTTTTAGGGTAATTTTTTAAAAATTATAAAAAACTAATAATCTGTTCATGAACTTATCAAGTCGAGTTCGATCTTGCTCGACTCAATTCACTAAAATTTTGAGTTTTATTAATTCGAATCGAGTATTGATCAAGTTTTGATCAAATCAAATTTTAATTAAATCAAATTCGAATAACTCACGAGTCGCCTAATTTATTAATCATCCCGAAAGAATGTGTGTAACGGGGGCCGTAAATAATTAAAGACCATCACGTCCTTAGCCTCAAGTACATGGTCACCTAAAACCCAGAGTTAATGGCATAAATTGATTTCGTAAGAGATTGAATCCATGGGTTAATAATACCTTAGGGCCGTTTGGTTCACGGCATACAACATTATTAGGAGAATGAAATCCTCATTCTCCCGTTTGGTTAGCCAGTAATTTTATTACCGATAATCTTTTATTACTAATAGTGGATTTTTTTGGGTATATTATCAGGAATGTGATTATCCTATTCCCTTAGGTATTGTTGGATTACCGACGTTTTGGACTAAAATGCCCTTAAAAAAATTTCTTCAAAAGTATGCTTATTCTGTCGTTGAATAATAAAAATTCTACGAAGGTTAAATTACAAATCTATCCTTAAACTATTTTAGGTTTACAAAAAAGTCCATAATTATAATTTTATATGAAGTTCATGGGTTAAAATAAATTTTTACCATTTCATTAAACCTATTTAGCTTTTCAATTTTGTAAGAAAAAATTATATAAATTTTATGAATTTAAATTTTTTAAAGAAAATATATAAATTAATTATAGTAATATTATAATAGAATTCAACTTGTTAAAAAACAAATATATAATAAGGATAATTTGGTAAAATATACATTCCAATAATTTTTTATTCCTTTAACTAAACACAGTAATCTTACATTCCTACTAAACCAACCAAAACACAAAATACAACATTATCATATTTTATGATAATCTTTTATTCTCACTGGTAATCTTACATTCCGTGAACCAAACGCACCTTTAAAGGGCATTTGGATCATGGATTTTTACATTCTCAGGAAGAATATTTTTTCTGGTTAAGATACCCACGTTTGGATAGGATACATTCTTAAGTGAGGGTAATATATCAATACCAACAGTATTTTTTGGGTATGTATTATTGGGAATATTATTCCCACATCTAACCTAGGTATTTTTTTATTCTCGTCCTTAAGGGCTAAAATACATTTTCTTATCTTCTCCCCGTGAGCTTGCGTATGAGAAGGAAAAAAATTTCCTGGTTTTCTCAGACCGATTTCTCCTGGTAAGATTTCTTCTCCACTCCATTTCTTTTATTTTCCTAGTAATGTTACTTGGTTTCTATTTTCTGATATGCACATATTGGTCTCATTGTGTTGTAGGAATTCACATGAGCAACAAGCTTAGCCGCATCTGCAAGACAATTCTTCACACTTTTGGTATCCTCATTCGGTAGTTAGCTCCCCAAATTCTTAACAGCTTCAACTCGTAGAGGCTTACAGAGTGGTCGCATTCACCCTTACTTGTTTCACCTGCTGAAGCTGCTGGAGTCATCGCTCTTTTAAAGGAAAAAAGGTGAGGGGTTTGGTTCATACGTTTCCATATGTTGTTATCAACAAAGAAATCTCCATTTTCCCTTAAGAATGTTTCTCGAATCCTAATTACTTTCCTATTTTCTTAGTGTTGATGAGTTACGGAAGCTTTTGTCTGATAATGACGCATACAATCAGTTCTTACAATCAGTTGACCAAGTTAAAATTCAAAACATTGTAAGTATCAAAATCGCCTTGATTTATTCGGTCTCTTTCAAAGTAATGAATTTCCATCTTGTTTTTTCTGTTGCACCATCTGATATGTTCTTGTTTTGTTTTCTGGTCTCAAAGATTATGATGGTTCGGGTTTTAGGCCATAGCATAACAAGAGGTATTGAATAACCAGTGAATTTGGTGAGATTGGTTGTCTGTGAATATCGAAATGCTTAGGATACTGCCTATTTAGATTGTTAATTCATATTGCTATTTTTGATGTGCTGTTGATATCATTTCATGTGTCTGAATATTGGTTATGAAGATAAGTCATTATCGGTAGCCCGCATGTGCATACTGGTGAGGAAATAGGGTTTGATAAAGTTTTGATGTTTCAGAATTTAGTGTATTATATTCTTGTTTAAAACAATAAATGAAGACTTAACTCGTAATACTGAGCAGAAGAGGATCTCGTGGTTATATTGGTCTCGGGGGATAGTCTAATGTTTAAACTTAATTAGGATCAAACATAACAGGAAATACTCAAAGTAGCAACAAATGATCTGACTATGATGAACTGAAAGAGCAAGAGAGAAGAAGAGAATAAGAGAATAAGGAATGAAAAACAATGCTCAATGATTTTTAAGAATAGGAAATTACAGAGTTTCAGTAAAATCACAAAAATATTTCACGTGTAATTTGCATAGTGGACAGGCCCACTATTTATAACACTAGCTAGCCCAACTACTTAGCCCAACAGAATAGGCTTCGGTTATAACAACCTCCAAAACGGTTATAACAACCTCCAAAACGGTTATAACAACCTTTAACATACATAGTACTCTAATATTCTCTGGGTTTTCTGTTGATCTGAATTATCAACTCAGTATTTTGATGGCTTCTTCAGACTTTCTTCACCTGGTGGGTCGCCTTGCTTCGTATGGCTGGTACCATTGATCTTTGCCCAATATTTTACACCAAGACGAGAGCGCATGTCACCAAATACTGCAGGTGGTAACGGTTTGGTGAGTATATCAGCTACATGTTCTGCAGAAGGGACAAAATTATCACGGAGTTTTTCAGCCAACACTCTTTCCCTCACAAAGTGAATGTCAATTTCTACATGCTTTATACGAGCATGATGTGTTGGATTTGCTGCCATAGAGATTGTAGAGGTGTTATCACACCATACAACTGGCTTTCCAGTTACTCTAATTCCTATTTCACCAAGTAATTGTTCAATCCAAACCAACTCAGAAACAGAATTAACAAGGCTCCTATACTCTGCTTCTGATGTAGACCTGGAGACAACGCTTTGCTTCTTAGAGCACCATGCAATTGGATTACCTCCAAGGTATACACAATAGCCTGTTGTGGATCGTCTGTCTTCCACCGAGGTTGCCCAGTCTGCATCAGTGTAGCAGACTATACTAAAATTTTTAGTTTGTTAGAAGAACAACCCATACTCAAGTGTCCCACTGAGATACCTCAGTATACGTTTCACTGCCCTCCAATGAGTATCACACGGACTGTTCATGTAACACCCCAACCCGTACCCGACCCGGGTACGAGTCCGAGGTGTCACATTGACTTTTCAAACTTTGACTCTTGACAAAATTCAAAGAAAATTTAAAACTTTCCTTAGAGTAAAAGCAGTTTAGTTACGTAATTTGACCACAATAACCAAAATCGATCAGAGCATATTTAACTCAATCAATTAGTACATGCCAATTATATTCAAAATAACAAAAATCATTTAACTCATCTATTTTCTGGTCTAAAATCTTGTAAGGGAGATGTTGACATGTAATACTCTTCTTATCTTCTTGCTTTTGTACCCTACGTGTGAAACAATCACACGCTAATTCGAAGACTTAGTGAGGCATAAAAACTTATAATGCACTTTATAACATATATCAATACATGCATGTTCTGTTCTATCATGTTATACCAAATTACATGATTTCCTCGTATCATATAAAATCATATCAGATTAATTACAGTAAATACATACATACACATAACTCATCATTAACAGTTCATCATGTAATCACATACTTTTATGCTTAGCCTTTTCAATCAAACACTATACACACACAACATCATATCATTTCTATAACATTTATCATATCACTAACATATATTTGTTTATATCTCTTGATTAGCCCATGTACATATGTGAGAACTATAGATATGTGAGTTTATGGAGGTTGTGCACTAATGTTGTCACCACAGCTCATATAAATGCACCGAAGTGCCACATAGAATTGCACCGTAGTGCCGCATAGAATTGCACCGTAGTGCTATATAATAATGTCCATAAGGACCACATATCATTCCTTAAGAATCATATACATATACTAGGGATCAAGTATGTGTCTCACCAGACTTCACACATGTTCCAAAGAATACATATATGTCCCGAAGGACCACATAGACCCTCGACTCTTGGCATGCCAACTATACCCCTAGCTCTCATGACACATAACATGGGCATTGTCATTTAACAGTTCACATTACTTGTCATTTCTCTTCTGTCACATACCATATGTATGTGTAACCATGTATTCCATATCATATCACATGTTCATATAAGCTCATAGCTTCTTTCACATATACATGTAATCACTTAGTCTATTTTCATGTAATTCTTTTCACTTCTCATATGATTTTATATTCATATCTCACATACCTCATATCACCTTGCATTGTTTCATATAAACATAGATGTCATATCTTGTTCGTATATATTTTCTATATAACTCATATATCTCATAGTTCTTTCACATAGCTCACTATCATATTTTCATATCATATATCTTATAATAGATTCTTATATCATCATTTATTTCCTTTCTACCTATTCATAATCACATAACATATACAAAGCATATCATTATCTTTAGTCATGCATACATACAATCAATGTAATACAGATAATCACATATAATTATAACAACACATAATCATGTCCATGACTTCATGCATATTACTCTAGGAAATAGACTCATCGCAAGTCTTATTTCCATTAAACACTACATATCACTAGTATGCACTCACCTTGGCCTCACTAGTAAATTCCAATCTCTTATCTTTCCCTTGATCGATATTACTTGCCAAATGTTCCGAAATTGCTTTACACGTAGAATCTACATAAATGTACATTTTGAGGCAATCATCAGATACCTACACCTTGTAATTGGATACTAGAAACTTAAACGAACTTATTAAACCAATATTCATATTTTTCCTTTAGGGGGAATCGGTTCCCTACTATGGGGGTATCGATTCCCTCATGACATTCTGGAAATTTTTGTTCGTTTGAAGGGGTATCGGTTCCCCTTGAATGGGTACCGATTCCCCTTGCCCAGAAATCATATTTTTAACTCGAAAATCCCTTCATTTTCAGTTCAACACTTCATACTTCACTCCCTTTAATATTCCTAACTTTCATACACATACTTAAACTCATTTTTACTCCATAATCACTTCTTTAAACTCAAAATTCTATCATTTACATGGCATTCAAGAATCACACTAAATTTCCAACATGTTCTAAAACCCATTCTATCACTTCATATCTCTTAATTTAACCCTTGACAAGTCAAATTAAACTTCAAAATCTATTAACTCATTCTATTTCAAAAATTCACTTAAAAACTCATTTTTCTTAATTTCTCATAACTTGTTAATCTTTGAGTTTTAAGTCACCTAAAGCTTTCCTTAATCTTTCTTAACATCCCAAGAATCAAAACAAGCTTTAAAACGAAAGAATTAACCAACTGAAGACCCACTTACCTTATACAAGGCTTCACGGTGGAGAGGAGGAAGAAGAAGACTGAAGAATACTCTGGAGAAATTATCTCATTTCCCACGTTTTTATATTCCCTTAAAAGAGAATAAAAATCTTCTCTTAGAAAAGACCATAATACCCTTGTTATTTCTAAACTTTACCATTAAATCCAACATCAACTTTCTTCAATTAAATCCATGAACTTTTAACTTATTTCAAAATTGAGCATATAGTTTTTAAAATTTGCAATTTAGTCACTGACCCTGATTTGGGATGTTACAGTTCATATATTGACTAACCTTATTAATAGCATAGGCTATGCCAGGTCTTGTTAAGCATATATACTACAAACCTCTCACAATACTGCGATAAAGATGGACATCACCAAACAACTGCCCATCATTTGCCTTGAGTTTAGGAGCAACAACCATGGGAGTAGGAGTGGGAGTTGGCTCAACTAGACTATACTTTACCTTTTTAGTAGCTCATTGATATACTTCTTTTGATTCAAAAACAAGCCTATTTCAGAATTTTCAACTTGCATTCCAAGAAATAGTTCTAGTTGACCCAAATCTTTAAGAGAAAACTCCTTGTTAATCGCTTGCACTATGGCATCCACTTCAATCACCTGGCTTCCTGTGATGACTATATCATCTACATATACCATTAATAACACTTGAGAAATACTGAATTTCTGATAAACAGAGAAGAATCAGCTTTTGAAGCAACAAAATCCAAACTTTCAATCAGAAATTTCCTCAAGGTCTCAAACCATGCTCTAGGTGTTTGTTTAAGCCCATAAAGAGCATTCTTCAAGCAACACACCAATTCCTTCCCATCTTCATTTCTTTGCTCAAAACTTTGAGGCTGACACATGTATATTTCTTTTGTTAGCCTCTCATTGTGGAATGCATTGTTGATGTCAATTTGTCTAAGTGACCAATTTTTCATGATAGCAACTTCCAGTATAGTTCTTATTGTACTAGCTCGAACCACTGGACTAAACGTCTTAGAAAAATCTCTTCCCACCATTTGAGAGTACCCCTTGGCCACTAGACAAGCCTTAAGCCTTTCAACTGACCCATCAGGTTTTTTCTTGACTTTAAAAAGCCATTTACAGCCTACTGATTTGCGTGCTGGTGGCGGAGGCTTTAACTCCCATGTACCATTCTTCATAAGGGCAATATATTCACTTTGAACAGCCTCACACCAAGCAGGATGTTGCAACGCTTCATAGACATTTGCTGGCTCTTAAGGACTTGTCTCAGCAAGTAGCACTTTAGGTTTAAAAATGCCAGGTTTGCCACGAGTAACCATAGGATGAGCATTCTGAACTAGCTGAGGTGGAGATGGTGGTGGTGATGGAGGTGAGATGAATTTTTGAGATGAAGACGATATATGTGGTGAAGATGACGATGATAATGGTGTAGAAGATGATGAATTTGAATGGGAATTTGAATGAGATGAATTTGGAGAAGGAAATGGAGATGTGGTGAGTTATTGTGTTGAAGATGAAACTTGTGGTGAAGATGATGATGTTGATGGTGTAGTAGATGATAAGTCTGATTTGTGATTGTGTGTGCTAGTAGGGATGGAAAGAAAAGAAGGATAAAACAAGCTATTTTGAGAAATATTTTTGACACTAGAGTGTTTTTGACTATTTAAAACTGATAAACTAGAACTAGTGGGAAAACTTTGGTGTTGTTGATAAGGAAACTCATTTTTTTCAAACCGAACATGCCTTGACACATATACACGACCACTAGATTCTAAACACTTATATCCCTTGTGAGCAGGTGAATACCCCAAGAAGACACAGGCAGAAGAACGAAATTGGATTTTATGCTGGTTATAGGGTCTTAAAAAAGGGTAACATGTGCAACTAAAAACTCTTAAAAAACTGTAATCTGGTGCTTTATGAAAAATTTTCTCATATGGTGATATACCAGACAACACACATGTAGGTAACCGATTAATAAGAAAAACATCACTAGAAAAAGCATCATTCCAAAAACTTAAAGGCATAGAGGCATGAGCTAGCATAGACAGGCCTACCTTAACTATCTGCCTATGTTTCCTTTCCACTAAATCATTTTGTTCAGAAGTATGAGGACATGAAATCCTATGTATTATACCTTGCTCTTTCATGTAAGCTTGAAGAGCACCAAACTCACCTCCTCCATCTGACTGAAAAACCTTGAGTTTGACACCAAATTGTCTTTCCACCTGTCTATAAAACTGAAGAAAAACATATTTGACTTTAGATTTTTGTTTTAAGAAATAAATCCATGTATACCTACTATGAGCGTCAGTAAAGGCAACATAAAATCTGAACCCATTAGAATAAACAGGAGCAGGGCCCTACACATCAGATACTATAAGTTCTAGTGGTTGTTCATAAACAGTGTGTGAGTCATAGAAGGGCAACTTATGTGATTTAGCAAGCTGACATGCTTTACACAACATTTTTTCTTTATTTATGTCAGAAGCAGTTACATTGTAATGTTTTAATGCAGAAATTAGCACTTCTTTAGAGGGGTGGCCAAGTCTTTTGTGCCACATGTCTACAAACACCCTAGCATTTACAATGTGACAGCTTATTGAAGACAAAGAACTATTATTAGAATTATTAACATGCATTTCATCACCAGTAATCATACAACTACCATTATTATCAGTGTTATTCATGGCTATATTGAGTTTGTACAGCCCTCCATCTTGACTTCCTTTTAATAACACTTTTCGAGTATGCAAATCACGAACTTGACAGAAATCACGGTAAAATTCAAGCAGAACCTGATTGTCCTGAGTGAATTTAGAAACAGACAGCAGATTTTTAGTAATGTTAGGAACATACAACAATTTATTTAAAAGAAATTTATTGGAATTAGTGAAAAAATAAGACTGACTAGTGCACTTTATTGGAAGAGAATTACCATTGCCTACAATTACACTACCTGTTCCAGGGAGAGTGTCTTTAATCTGCAAGTTATTAAAGTCTTTAGTTATATGATGAGTCGCTCCAGAGTCTGGATACCAAGCATTATCATCCACTGCCTCAGGTGTAGCTATATAAGTTTGAGATGTGACATGTGGTTGAGTAACAGCATTGAACTGATTTGTATTTCCAGAGGAAAAAGAATACATGTTGTGGGGATTTGAATATATTTGATGTTAAATATTAACAGGATAATTATGTGGTCGAAAAGCAGAAACTTGAGGAACTTGAGAGGCAGAAAAGTGTGGTGCAGAAAATTGAGGAATTTGAGGTGCAGAAAATTGGTGTGTAGAAATTTGAGGTGCAGAAAATTGAGGAATTTGTGGTGCAGAACGTGTATAATATACTGGATTATAAGGGTTGAAGTTGTCATTGCTGGGACTATACGAGCTGACATTGGCTTGAATATTGGGATAGCCTTTAGTATTAGTGTTTTGTGTAGGTCGAGAGGTTCATTTTTATAGTTCATATCAAATCTATAATAGCACCTTTCCACAAGATGTCCCATTCGACCACACAACTGGAACTGTGGTCTAGAGGATGAAAAATGTCCTCGACCTCTACCCCTATTACTGCTGTTATTATTATTAAAATTCTGACCAGTGTTATCACCAACTTCTCCTTTATTTTGATACTCAGAATAAGAAGCATTGTTAGAAGTAACTTGATCAGCTGAAGCTTGAGTGGTGATGTGAGCACAGGCAGTAACATGATTAAAGGATTGTTACTGTCTTGTGTCAGCATCCAGTAATATGGTGCTGACAGACCTTAAATCTGTAGGAGTAGGGGTGGCAGTTATAACAGTAACAACTGACTCAAATTCAGGTGGCAAACCATTCAAAATAGCAGTAATATGCTCATGTTCTGAAATTATTTCACCACAGCTAGCTAAATTGTCACAGACAGACTTGATTTTCATCAAGTACTCTCTCATACTCAGGTCCCCTTTCCTTTGAGAATGAAGCATTCTCCTATAAGACATCAACCTAGAGGTAGTTTTTCCACTATACAGCCTATACAAAGTGTTCCAGATCTCAGCAGCAGTATTGAGACCTATGAGATGAGATAGCACCTCCTCACTAACAGTGGAGAGCAACCAGGAAGCAAGAGCTCCATCCTGCTCTTCATAAAGTTCATACTCAGGATTTAGACTAACAACACCATCTCTAGTTACATACTGTGTGGGCCAAGAGATGTTAGAGTCTATGTATTTTTGAAGTCTATGAGTTTTAATAGTAAGAAACACTTGTTGATGCCATAGAAGGTAGTTGTGATCATCTAAAGTCACATTGATTTTCTTAGTAGAGAATAATCTAGAGGAGACAGCAGAAGCAGAGCTAGAAAAGTTAATAGTACTGTCATCAGTAGTATTTTCCATATAAGAAACAGGCAGCAGCTTTCAACTAGAACAAAATGTGAGCAGCAAAGCAGAAAAGGAATAACAAAGAACCAGTATGCCAGTTCAACCGAGTACAGTAAACGCAAACCAAATAGCAGTATGACAGACCAATCAAGAACAACAAACACAAATCGAAGAGCAGTATGTCGAATTAATCGAGAACAGTAAAGGAGCAATCTCACCATAAATGAAGATAAAAAAAAGGCCGAACAAGAAACAGCCGAGAAACAGGATGCTAAGAAGCAGCTTCGAATGCAGCAAACAGTATCGAAGATCCACCGAAAAACATAGACAAAACACAGAATCACAACCAGAGCCGAAGAGAAAGCGACAACTCAAGGATCCAAACGATGCACAACCGCAGAGAACTTGTCGAGGAAACAAGAAAAATTACGCAGGACGGAAGACAAAAGGCTGCAGGAATTTAGGCGAATGATACCATAACAGGAAATACTCAAAGTAGCAACAAATGATCTAACTATGATGAACTGAAAGAGAAAGAGAGAAGAAGAGAAGAAGGAATGAAAAACAGTGCTCAATGATATTTCAGAATAGGAAATTACAAAGTTTCAGTAAAATCACAAAAATATTTCACGTGTAATTTGCATAGTGGACAGGCCCACTATTTATAACACTAGCTAGCCCAACTGATTAGCCCAACAAAATAGGCTTCAGTTATAACAACCTCCAAACGGTTATAACAACCTCCAAACGGTTATAACAACCTTTAACACACATAATACTCTAATATTCTCTGGGTTTTCTGCTGATCTGAATTATCAACTCAACAAAACATATAGTTTTTAGCCTGTTAAATTCCATTTGCCAGATCTTTAAGGTTCCCCTTGTTTCGTTTGTTTACCGTGCTTTTTGATCGTTGCATGGATCTCCACTAACCAGGGCCCTGCTCCGTCTTATAATTGATGTTCCTTGTTGGTATCATGATGGGGTTGCACTTTAGCTATGTTTTAGAACCATTTATTCGAACTATAACATGCATGCGATGAGAAAACCGTGTTTTCTTTTACTTTATATTTCATCATTTTGTCAATTTCTTACCTGATCGGAATTAACTTTTTACTAGATAAGATATGAACTTCGCAAGGAGACTTTGCAGCTTGCCAGTTAGTTCTTATTCAGCTATCTCTATGAATCTCCTAGAGAAGTTTGTGTTTTGTAGGATTGTTTTATTAACTACCGCCTTGGCGACGAGAAAACGAGGGTATAGAACACACAAGCAAACATTTTAACGTTTGATTACAAGGATTCCTTCAGCCTGACCTTCTATAATAGCTATAAGCCACAACAATGGTTGCAACAGCTTCGACCACAGCGGCTGCTGTAAGAACGTCACGCTGCTCCCATGATTCTATCCAGCTTGTCAGATCGCACGTCCAGGTCTTTTTGGGCAAGTCTCTCGGTTCTTCGTTTCTCTTTTTGTCACTTGGTTCTGAGCTAGCAGTCATGCAACAGGTGAATCCATTAGCACCCTGACAACAACCACCCGCATTTTCCGTTGTGTTCTGAGCAGTCGTTTCTTCGTGCTTCTCTTTTTTCTTCGCTTCGGTCCCATTCGGAAGCTTCGGTTCGCCTCCTTCGGTAGAAGCCCCCATTTGACCCCTGCAGATGTTGACATAGAAAGGAGTAACAGAAAGCTTAATAGGGAATATGCAATTCGTCACACAGTAGACATGGGGCTTCCTACTAACGAAGCACAAAGTCAAAAAGTTAGCATGGCCTCCATTTTAGTAGGAGTAAAATGATTTATTTATTAAAATTTTAATATTTTATTTAGTTAAATGTTGATGTAAAATTTTAATATATTTTTAGATAAATAATGTAAAAAATAATATTATGATATATTTAATTTTTTATTCTACTCATTTATCTTTTAAATTTAATAAAAAAAGTATATATTAATTTTATTAAAAAGTATATAATTTTAAAATAATAAAGTAATATATTTTCGATGATTTTTTATATAAATATTTAGAATTTCACTTGTTAACACATATAAAACAAAGACAATTTGATAAAATATATGTTCCAGTAATCTCATTTTCTTTCAATCAAACACTATAATCTTATATTCCTGTCAAACAAACCAAACATAGTAATATAATATTCCCAAAATATATCAGGTAATGTTATATTCCTAGTAATCTTATTCATAGATGTAATGCTATATTCCATAAACCAAACGTACCAGATTGTGAGATGAGATGTAGCTAGAACAACTTTGAACTCTGTGAATCGAGATGGGCCAAAATAGAGGAGACACTCTTTATGGATTTTTGGGTAATTGGGGTTCAAGGCGTCGTTCCAAAATCCAAATGGTCAAGACGTTGGCAACAACGAGGATAATAAGTTATAATCAAAATCCAAATGGTCAAGAAAAGGTTTACAAAAAATTGGGGATTTTCAATAAAATTTTCGACAAAACAAATCAAATAACCAAAAATAATAGGGAGAGACGAATCTTTCGATCCCTTTTACGGCATGAACAAATGTCGAACAAATACTAAACGACTAGGGTTCTTAATGGAAGAAATAGAAAGAAAACAGAGAGAAAAGAAAGAAAAACAATATTTCTAAACTATAGGGATCAAATTAGAAATCAACTCTTTGTGTTAACATGTAACTAGGGATGATCATGAGTCGGGTTAGGTCAAATTTATGACCAACCCAGCCCTAAAATATGTCATTCACCCAAAACTTAACCTGACCCGAGTTTAGGATGACTTCATTTGACCCACATTTTTAAGATAAAACTCGTATCCAACCAGGAACAAATATATTTATAAAAAGATATTAATTTTATTCGATAAAAATAGAGATCTAATTGAAAAAAATAATATATAAATAAATATTATTATAATTATCCCTATATATATATATATATATATATATATATATATATATATTTACATTATTTTTTGGGTTGAGCAAAATCAGTCGGATTCAAGTACTTTACCCATTCCTATATGTAACATCTAGGGATGACAAACGGGTACAATTTCGTGGATTTCGCACCGTACTCGCTCCAATTGGGGCGGGGATGGGTATAACTTTAGTGGGTAGTGGGCGGGTGTGGATTTAGAAAGTAGTACCCGTCGTGGGTAGTGGGCTGGTGATGGGTTTAAGACCTTACCTGCCCCGCATCTGCCCACCCCACATCCGTCCGCCCACTAAATACCCATTAAAGTTTAAACCATTATGAATTTAGGTATAATTTTAGAGACTAATTTATAAATCTTAATATTGTATAAGATATATGCTGTCAGGCAGATCTAACCGGGCACGTCTCCATTTGGGTAGTAGGTGTGAGGATGGATTTGAAAATGTACCCGTGTGAACGGGTGGTGGATTTGAAAAATTTTACCCATCATAAGTGATAGGCGGGTGATAGATTTAAAAATATTAAGTGAGTATGGGAATAGAGATATCCGCACCGACCCGCCGTTTGTCATCCCTAGTAACATCATCAATGTACAAGATTTCACATTCCAATGATATTTTGCAATAAATCAATATATAAATGATATTTTCGTGATAAATCAATAATATAAAGACCAAAATATAGGTTCTAAAAGTTCAATAATCAAAATAAAAAAAATTAAAATGATAATACATATATTTGGCAGTTGTCAATCCCAATTAGATGGAAATGTTTTGTTTGGTTGGCGTGGCGCGATACATTGGTGACAAGTGCTCATTGGGACTCATGGGGGTGATAGTTTCTGCTGGATGTACCGTTTGTGACTATTCTTTGAAAAACTTGAGCCATATCTTGAGGGATTCTACTAGGTCATGGGCAAGAGGGCCATTTGTTCACATATAATTTAAAAATAATAATTATCATTTTATTAAGGATATTAAAAAATTAAAAATTTATGTACTAAAACGAATAAAAACTGATAGTTTATATATTAAATATGTATAGTTTTTAACAACGGATACTAAAAATGAAACAAAACGTTAGGTGTGATTTAAAAAAAATTAAGTATTAAAATGAACAAAAACTGATAATTTATGTATTAAATGCATAATTTACTCATTTTAATATTATACAACCACTTAGTAAAAAGCAATGTTTTCAAAATCGGACCGGACATTTAACCTGTAAGGGTACTGGTTCACTGGTTCAACTGGTTCAACTGGGTTCAACCGTAGTTCAATTGGGTTCAACCGTGGTTGAACCGGATTTTATATAAAATAATTTTTTTTTAATTTTACATAATATTCAAAGTAATATTAATATATATGTAACACTTTTTTTAAGTTTACAATATTAAAAGGTATAAAAATATCACAAGTCATAATATGTATAAATCAAAAACTTTAAAATCAAGTGAAACAAAATGATTCAAATCAACTACAACATAATATTTAAGGTAAAACATATTAAATAATAAATATAATTATATAACTATAATCAAAAAAATAAAATTGGGGTTTTAAAAAATCATAATAAATGATGTCATTTGATTTAATTGTTTTAAAAAAACAATCTCACATGACTAAGAAACATAGAAGAGTATCTCAAAAGTTTAAAGAGTAAAAATATGATAACAAAATAATCTCACATGACTAAGAAACATAGAAGAGCATCTCAACTTACTTCTATAAATAATAAAGGTAATTTGACATTCAAAATCATGGAGCCTTTTGGTGAGCACAAAGCGAACTATTCTTTCGCTTCAATTGAGCTCAAATTTTAGGCTTCAATTGAACTTCTAAATTTTTTTTTGAGTTCGAGCCTTTTCGATTTCAAGTTTTAATATTATATTTCGAGTTGATAATTTTTAGCTCGTGAGTTTTTGAGTCGAGTTGAGCTTATTTTTAAAATTTTCGAGTTTGAGTCGAGCTCAGCAATACTCGAATTTGACTCGGCTCGTTGAACAAACGACGTTGTTTGGTTTAATTTTTTTTAAAAGAAAAATAGTAAACCGAAAGTTCAAACCGGTTCAAACCGGTTTTCAGTTCACTCCGATTTTTCCGGTTTTCAACCGATTCTTCCGGTTCTTTACCGGTTCTGTGCTAATCCGGTTTTAGGAGTTAACCGGACCGGACAGTCCACCGGTTCACGGTTTAACCGGCCGATCTAGTCCGATTTTAATAACATTGGTAAAAAGATTTCAATTTTTATCTTTATATAAAATAAAAATCATATTAAATAAAGGCAGTTGCATTGCAGTTATCCCCTCCTTAATATCCCCCCATCTCATGTTCATGTACTAAACATTACAGCGTCTAATGTACTATCACATTTTGTCTTTATAAACCAAGCAAAAAAGGTAAACGGAACTGAACCGAAACCAAAGAAAACGTCCATGGAAAACATGAATCATGACCATATGCATGGCATGATGAACAACCAATCCGACGGCGGTATGACGGCGGCGATGCAACCCCATAAGATGATGATGCACATGACCTTCTTCTGGGGCAGCGACGCCCAGATTCTCTTCTCGGGTTGGCCCGGAACAAGCACCGCCATGTACGTCTTGGCCCTCATAGTCGTCTTCCTCCTTGCTTTCACCTCCGAGTTTGTCTCTCACTCTCGGTTGTTGAAACCCAGTTCCGATAACCACGTGGCTTCCGGTCTGGTCCAGACTCTGCTGCACGCTTTCCGGGTCGGGCTTGCGTATCTGGTGATGTTGGCTATCATGTCTTTCAACGGCGGCGTTTTCCTGGCCGCCGTGGCTGGCCATTTCGTGGGGTTTTTGCTATTGGGCAGTGGGATTTTCAAGAACTCCGCCGCTGTTCCCGCCAAAACATCCGATCATCTTCCTCCTCCGCTGAGTTGTTGAATTATTAGGGTTCTTGCTGTTGATGGGTTCGTTCCTAAAGTACCCTTACTGAAGTTTATGGTTTTAGATCTATGCTTTGCTTCTTCATACTTGTTTTTCATTTGACAGAAAAAGAAAAAAAATCCATAGATTGCTTATTGCACTGGTTCCAATCTTAAACGTGAGGCTGTGATTTCATGATCCTAGCCAGCAGGTTGCATGTCATATCAACGTCGATTTAATGCAATGGTGTTTCACTCTCAAACTTAGGGACCAAACCATAAAAAAATAGTTGTCAATGTTTAATTAATTTTTAAAGGTTTAAAAATATATTTGTATTATTTATTTAATTAAAATGTTGTAATTTTAATTAAGGTAAAATTTTAGTATGTTAGAGAGTAAAATACAATTTTTTACAATTATTTTATATAAAATTTTTAAAATATATTTAGTAACCTTAATAGTAGAAAAAAATATTATTATTTGTAAATAATTTAAATTCGAACAATTACAACTATAAAATATATATAAATTATCGACTGACTAAAATATTTTAAAAAAAATTATTTTATAATTATTTATATTATTAAAAATATATAAAAGTTAAAATATTATAGGGGGTAGATTACGTAAAATTAGATTGAAGTATTCGACTAAAATATAAAAGTTAACCGTTTTTTAATGATTAAATTACGATTAAAATTTTTTTATAACCATTATAATGATTAACCGAATATTTAAACTAAACGATATGATTAATCGTCCATAAACAACTCTAGTCCAAACCAGCGGTAGAAATTAATATGGACTAGCTGAATCATGCCTCTGAAATTTGGAAAAATTATTAGGGTAAACAATGCTAGTAGCCTTTGAATTTTTAAGACCCTTTCACTTTAGTCATTAACTTTTTAAAATTGCATTATAATCACTAAACTTATAATTTATTTTCATTACAATCATTAACTATCGTTACAAAAATTGTTGTGGCACCTTAAAATCTTCTTTAAAAAAACCCTAATCTTCCAAATGATCAATTACTATACATATAGATTTTTCAATGAATAGATCGATCACCGATTAATCCTAAAAGTGATAAGGTTTTATTTGATAAAAAATTAATATAATTCAATTTCAACTTGATTCAACAATTAATTGTGACAAAGGAAAATGTTTTAGCTTTTAGTTTCTATTGGACAATTGTCTTCTTCCACTGTTATGTTTGTCGATGTTCAGTGATTTCTACAAGGTGAAAAGATCACCAAACTACTTTTTCTCTCTCTTTCCTTCGGCTCAAACTCGTCAAAAAAAAATCTTTTGATTTCTTCAAATTTCAACAGGAACTAGAAGAAAAACTTTTTGATCCACCACTATCAATCATTGAATCAACTTGAAATCAAATTATGTTAATCTTTTGGCTAAACGGATCTTTTTCCATCTTTGGATCAAAGATTGCTCATTCACCTAGAATTTGACGTTTGAGACAACTATAAATTTGAAATCTTAGGTGGCATTTGGTTCGCTCGAATGTTTCTGAGGGAATTAGAATCTGTGAAGGAATTAGAATCTGTCAGGAATTGAAATCCAATTCCATATTTTGTTTGGTTGGCAGAAAATTGAATTGGAATCCAATTCCATATTCTGTTTGGTTCGCAGTCATGTTAGATGAATTTGATTTCAGTAATGTAAAATGACAGGATTGCCCTTCTTGTTTTTTTGCTTAATTTTAGTTTGTTTTATAAATTAAATGTAGCAATATATTATAAAAATTTTAAAAAAAAAAATTTAATTTTATTGATTGATTATTCATTTTAATAAATTATAAAAATCATGTTGATAAACGTCATAAGTTAAAATCATCCCAATTAGGGATGGCCATGGGTCAAGTTTTTGGTCCACCCGACCCGACCCGAGAACAAGGGAACCTCCATCCAAGACCAAACCCGACCCGACCCGACCCGAATATATGAATTAGAAACCCGACCCGACCCAAAATAATAAAAAAATTATTTTTATTCAATAAAAACAGTGATTTAATTGAAAAAATATATATAGAGGGGTATTATTGTAATTATTCCTAAATATATAAGGTAAAATTATATATTTTTTGGGTCGGGTCGGGTCGGGTATTTTTCACTCTAAACCCGAACCCGACCCGACCCGACCCGACCCAAATATCACACTTAAAAAAGACCGACCCGATCCGACCAAAATAAAGTTTCACCCGACCCGACCCGACCCGAATATATGAATTAGAAATTCGACCCGACCCGAAATAATAAAAAAATTATTTTTATTCAATAAAAATAGTGACTTAATTGAAAAAAAATTATATATAGAGGGATATTATTGTAATTATACCTAAATATATAAGGTAAAATTATATATATTTTTGGGTCAGGTATTTTTCACCCTACACCCGAACTCGACCCGACCTGAATATTACACTTAAAAAAACCGACCCGACTCGACCAAAATAAAGTTTCACCCGACCCGACCCGAATATATGAATTAGAAACCCGACCCGACCCGAAATAATAAAAAAATATTTTTATTCAATACATGAATAAGTTACCAAAAGATTAATGAGGGTAGTATGATCAAATTTCAATTCCCTCCAACAAGGGAATTGAATTCCATCATATAATGGATGGAATTCACTTTCCCTCATTTGATGAAAAGTTGAAGCCATGAGGGATTCCAATTCTCTTGGAAAACTAGAATCAAACATGAGAAAGTGGTGGATTCCTCCTAATTACAAGGGATTCATGCCAACCAAACGCCACCTTAGGATTGTCTTTGTGGGAATAAGACTTTAATGTGTTAGTTTTTCTTAATACATAATTAATGTAATTAATGAAAGTAAATAAAAAATTTAGACTACATTTCTTTTTAATTTCCGTTCTAAGAAAACCGCAATAACTAATTTGTTAAAAGAATATGTTATAGATCTACATACTCCATGAAATCACATACAAATATACATAATTTGATCATTACTGTTAAAATTATTTTCGATAATTATTCCAAAATCAGAAATTCTGTTTATACCATTGGTCCCAATCTAAAAAATTAACGATAACTTTAGACTTGTATGCAAAGGATTCAACAAAATGAATGGTGACAGGAGATATTAAATTTAGGAACGGATATAGAATTTTATATTAGGGGACGAACTTGAATTTATAAAATTTTAAAGGACGAATTTAAACTTACAAAATTCCAGAGACGGAATCAGATTTTCAATAAAAAATATATAAAAATTTAAAATATAAAATAAATTTTAAATTTCATGGGTTAACTTTCCTCAACCCGTCCCGAGTTCATCCCCGATTAAAACCAAGATATTTCATATTTCATATTTGCAAAATCAGAGGGAACCACTGTTAGTCGAAATCTTGTTGGAGTTTGTACAGTCTTCCACGTTGGAGTCATTTGCGGATAAGGTTATCTCGTTTCTATGCACAAATGTAGCACACATTCAGCTACATTCAAAGGGGATGAATCTTAATATATTTTTTCTCTTAAATATGGTATTATTTTTCTATGCGGTTACTTCAAATTACGATAATAAAATTATAATGTCCTTTAAATTTTATAAATTTTAGTAGAAGAAACGTAAAGGACTTCTAAATTGTATTTGTAACATCCTAATCCAGTTTGACATGAAGATCCATGGATCACAATGTCACACAAGACTACTGAAATAGGGAACCAAAAAATTTTCTTTAAAAACTGCTTTTAATCCACTAAAATATTTCATCCATGAAATTTAAAACAAACCATAATGATAATATGAGTTTACAAATATCGGGGAGCTCCCTAAATATATCCAAAATAAATACAGTACCAATACAAATCAAAGTTACGAATGAATATACTACAAGGGTCCATAAATAGTATACACCCTCTAAAGAATACTCAAGACGTACTCTAACAGTAACTACTGGTCTGGTCTGCTGCACTGGAATATTTGCTGACGATAACTCCCCACGATCTAACCCTAAGAACTTTCGCACGAAAACACATTCCGAACGCTTACAAGCTTAATGTCTCACTAATAATTGTTCTATACTATATGCATTTATTTAAAGAGTTGACTAGCGGCACTAGTCTAAATCATAAGAAACTGAGACATAATCTACTAAACTGTGTAGGATCAAGGTGCGGCGGAGGGATTCTATCATCTCGGAGCTTACACCCCTCTAGCCTACAGGGTGGGAATCCATAATTCTGTCATCAGAAACTTACACTGCCAACCACATCGTCGAGTCTTGGGGCATCTGGCGCCCAGTAGGTTACTAAAGCGCCTTAGCACTGACTTGGATCCATCGACTATCGTATTTCTGCTAAGAGTAGCTCGAGTGTTCTGACTGTTTCTCGAGCGTCAAACAAGGCTAGTTTTATGTGAACGTAGCTATTATTGTTTCTACTGTTATGATATTAATTACTATTATAGTTTGAAGTTTTATTTGTTGTTATTCAAGTGTAATTGGGGCACCTCAAGTTTAATCCCTTAACACCTGGATTATTTATCAAATTCTGCTCGTGGGTACCGATATTGACCCTTTAGTATCGATACTGAACCCTTGGTATCGATATCCATATGTTGGGATCGATACACTGTAACATCCTTAATATCGGGTTAGTGACTAAATTGTAAAGTTACGGAATTTGGTGATTAAAGTAGAATAATTGGATAGTTCAATGACTTATATGAAAAATGTGGTGTAGGATCAAATTGAAAAGAAGGAGGAATATAAGGATAAAATGGTCATTTGCAAGGAAAATAATTACGATTGGTTATATATTAACCACGTAGAAGTGAAGGAAGCAAAAATCCAAGCTTCCAGACTTCTCTTCTCCTCCTTTCTTCCTTCAAACGTGAGAGCCCAACAAAGGTATGATTTCTTGTTAGTTAAGTTCTTGCTGAAATTAAGGTTGATTTATGATCATTAGATGATAATTAAGCTTAAGGAAAGCTTAATTTATCTTAAAACAACAAGATGAAAGGTATATGAAGGATTAAAGAAAGGAAGTGAAAAAGTGAAATCTTGATAGAAAAGTATTAATTAGAATTGGAAGTTAAATTTGACTTGTCATCAATCTAAATAAGGAATATGAAGTGTTAGAATTGGATTTAGAGCATGTTCATATTTGAGTATGATTTTTGAATGCCACATAAAGGATATGATTTTGTTTTTAAAGAAGTGATTATTGAGTAGTGA